TGGACCATGTTTTCCCATATCATGGGGGTGGCAGAGTGTTGCATTTTAGAATTGTGTTCTTTTCTTTGCTAGTTATACTTTGTTCTTATGATTATTTGATTGTTTTACCCTTAATTCATATTAGGTAGCGTTGGTTTAACATTTGTTGTAGTTATTGTGGTTTGTTTAGATATTATGTGTTTGTCTAACCCCTTTGTGTCAGAATGGCCTGATCAGCCACTATATAAGTTTCCCCCATGTCTCAGTCTTGTTAGGTCTGTTTATTATTGTTGTTATTGTGTGATTATTTTTTTTATATCTATCTATATTATATTTATGCTGATGACACACAAATATACTTGCCCGTCAGATCCACAGACCCTGTAATGCTGAGTTCACTTAACAACCGCCTTTGTGAAGTTAAAAAATGGATGTCAAATAATTTCCTCCAGCTGAACTCAGACAAAACAGAAATCCTGGTCATCGGGTCCCAGCAGATGGCAAACAAATACTGCCATCTGCTGGTTCCCTAGTAAATAACATTAAGCCTGTGGCAAAGAACCTTGGTGTTTGGTTTGATAGTAATTTAAATTTCGAGCAGCACACCACAAAGCTTGTTTAATCATGTTTTTATCAACTTAGAAATATAGCAAAAATTCGATCTATGTTAACTTTTAAGGACACCGAGACCATTTTACACGCCTTCATCTCATCACGGCTGGATTATTGCAACAGCCTTTTCACCTGTTTAACCCAAAAATCTATTGATCGACTCCAGACTGTCCAGAACTCAGCTGCCAGGCTTTTAACCAGAACAAAGAAATATGACCACATTCTCCTATTTTAGCTTCATTACACTGGCTCCCAGTATGTTTTAGAATTGACTTTAAAATTCTATTGATCACTTTTAAAGCTCTTCATGGCCTCTCGCCTTGTTATGTTTCTGACCTTTTAGTCCCATACACACCAGCACGTACCTTGAGATCCTCGGGCAGAGGTCTGTTGTCTGTTCCAGAGTCTCGACTGAAAACTAAAGGGGACAGAGCGTTTGCTGTCAGGGCCCCGAGGCTCTGGAACAGCCTGCCCGAGGAAATCAGGTCGGCTGAGTCAGTGAACTCTTTTAAGTCCCTTCTTAAAACATACTTTTATAGGAGAGCCTTTCCCGATCTTATTTGACTTTATTTTATCCCTTTTATTTTATTGTATTTTACTAATTTTACATTTATCTTAAACGTATATTTTAGTCTTTTCAATGTTTTCTTACTTTTATCTGGTATTGTTTTTGTATTATTGTCTTTACACTTGTTAAAGCACTTTGTAACTTGTTTTTGAAGTGCTAAAATAATAAAGATTATTATTATTATTATTACAAGCTTCTTTTCCTGAGCTTTCAACCAAAGCTCACAGCCTTAATCAAGGAATGGGTTTGCTTATTTGTCAGCACATGACGGAAGGTAATAGGTGGTTGTATAATGGGGGGGGGGGGGGGGGGGCAGCCTCTGTCTCTGGTGTTGGATGTGAATGTCCTCCTTGATCTTTCTCTGACCATCCACATCAAAAGGTTCTGAATCCTAAAGTGATGCTGTTGATGAAAGTGTGATGTTATTACTGATTTGATCGGTGATGCGATTGCTTACAAAAAAATGACAAACTACATGGTGACTCGACACAGTCCATTGAACTGAACAAGACAATTTGAGCCAGCAAAGTGGTGGATAATTTTCTCCTCTAATTCAATGTTATATGGAAACATTTGAGAACAAGTCTGGCTGAATGTTGGTGTGACTCCCTGTATGTGGTGTGCGTTCTTTCCCCCGTTCTCTTCTCCCTGTACACCAACAGCTGCACCTCCAGTCACCAGTCTGTCAACTCCTGAAGTTTGCGGACGACACCACCCTCATTGGGCTCATCTCAGGTGGGGATGAGTCCACCTACAGGTGGGAGATCGACCATCTGGTGACCTGGTGCAGCCAGAACAGTCTGGAGCTCAACGCTCTGAAGACAGTGGAGATGGTCATGGACTTCAGGAGGAGCCCAGCCCCACCCTCCCCCATCATCCTGTGTGACTCCCCAGTCACCACTGTGGACTCCTTCCGCTTCCTGGGCACCATCATCTCCCAGGACCTCAAGTGGGAGCTGAACATCACCTCCCTCACCAAGAAGGCCCAGCAGAGAATGTACTTCCTGCGGCAGCTGAAGAAGTTCAGCCTACCACTGATGGTGCACTTCTACACCGCCATCATTGAGTCCATCCTCACCTCCTCCATCACCATCTGGTACGCTGCTGCCACTGCCAGGGACAAGGGCAGGCTGCAACGTATCATTCGCTCTGCAGAGAAGGTGATTGGCTGCAATCTTCTTTCTCTTCTGGACCTGTACGCCTCCAGGACTCTGAGGCGAGCAGGAAAGATTGCAGCTGACCCCTCCCACCCCAAACTGTTTCAGACTCTCCCCTCTGGCAGGAGGCTGCGGTCAATCAGGACCGAAACCTCTCGCCACAAAAACAGTTTCTACCCGTCTGCAGCTAGCCTCATTAACAAGGCCCGGGTCCCCCACTGACATTCCCCCCTTTCAAATAATACAATTGTCTCTGCACATGTAAATACTATTTCATTTCATACCATGCACGAACCTGGCACATTGCACATAATTGTTGTTAATTGTTTGTATATTTTTTTATTGTGAATTTATAGATTTCGTTGCAACACGTGTGCACAACACAAACCCAGAATAATGCACATGTAAATATCTGCGACGTTGTTCTTTCTCTACAAATAGTTGTATATTTTTCTCTATTCTTTTTAATATTCTTATATAACTTGCATTGTTTATTCCATATTTATATATTTCTACATCTATTTATGTCAGCTGTATGTCTGTCTGCGTGTGGCACCTTAACACCAAAGCAAATTTCTCGTATGTGTAAAACACTACTTGGCCATAAAGCTCCTTCTGATTCTGATGTCCAAACCTATTAGACAGGTTCTTACTTATACATTACAGACTTATCAATGTGGGGGAGTATGTGGCGTTTATGTCTGGAAACATAAGTGTGTGCATAGGAGATGTCTGTGTCACCAAGAAACCAGAAACACTGGCTGACCACTGAGGTGTGCGCAACTTTGAGAGAATGAGAAGGTACCTTCAAATTCGGTGACATGGTGCCTGGCAGATCAGCAAGAGCTGAGCCATCACGGCAGCAAAGCATCCTCATGGTAAAAAAACCTGTGAGGTAAGTCATCATGATGACCAGGTACCCAATCTTCACCCAGCTGATGTCCGAAGGACCTGAAAGAGTCTGCAGATCCTGACAATATACCAGGCCGCATGCTCAGAGAATGTGCTGCCCATCTGGCACATGACCTCACAGAAATTTTAACACTTCATTGAGCCAGGCTGTTGTCCCATCATGCCTCAAGACTGCCACCATCATACCAGTGACAAAAAAAATCCACAATTTCATGTCTTGACAACTATAGCCCCATGGCACTTTTTATTGTGATGAAGTGCTGTCAGAGACTGGTACAGGACTCCCTCCACACTTGACCCATTGCAGTTGGCATACTGCCCAAACACCTCCATATGAAGACATCATATCCTCTGCACTCCACCCTAGCCTGAAACATTTAGAGGGAAAGGACAGCCATGTGAAAATGCTGTTCATAGACTGCACTTCAACTTTCAATACAATCATATACGATCCCAAACACCTCATCCCTGACAGAGAGCCCAGCAGCGCCTGCACAGGCGGTGGATGAGGAGAGCACACCTCCCCCGCCCCCCTCTTAACCATTTTCTACAGGAGCACCATAAAGAGTGTACTGACATGCTGCATAACTACCTGGTACTGAGACTGCAGTGCCTCAGCCCGCTAGTACTTGAGAGTGGTAAGGGCATCTGGAAAGACCACTGGGACTTTACTCCCATCAATTCAGGATATATCACACAAACTGCTTGTCTGGGGCCACCAACAAGGCAACAGACCCCACCCATCCCCACCATAGACTCTTTGCCCTTCTGCTCTCCAGCAAGAGATAATACAGCATACAGGCCAGGACCGCCAGGTTCCAAAGCTTCTTCCCCCTGTCAGACTCCTCAACTCCCATAACCTACATACACTGAGTCATACACGCAAGCACACCACACGCACACACACACACTCATGTTTGTAGTATGGAAGCAACTGATGACCATAAAGGTGTTATTCTTATAAGCAAATGAATACATACTTGTGAGACTACTACTGCCACTACCATTGAGTTTAGTCCTGAAATATTTTACTTCCAACCATCATTCTTAAAATATTTGTTTTTGGTCAGAATACCTCTCATTTTATTTTTCATTAGTCAAATTCAACTTGTGAAATTTCCAAAACTTTGTTTCCAGTATATTTATTTGTAGGACTCAGAAAATAGGAAATTGCGCCCATGACAGTTTATTTAATACAATTTGTTTATATTGTATTGTTTATATTTAAATTGATCACTGAATCTGAACGCCTAGAATAAGCAATCAAGCCTAAATGGAACCCCCATTCACACTGCTTCGGCATGTGGAGAAATTTGAGCACTGGAAAAACCAGCTGTAGACACTATGTATGATCTTGTGTTTTGGGGTCTGAATTTAATATCTGGAATAATACTGTCTGAACAACACATTTGTATTGCCATGATTTTTTATTAATTCATTTAAAATATTTGTTCCAAAAAACTTTCTAAGTATAGTAATTTTCCTTCTATTATAGTAATGAAGCCATCTTTCTTAGTACATTATGGGTTTTAATATTTATTAAATTTTACAATTAAGGTCAATTCAGATTTTTGCAACTCTTGCTGCACAGTCATCAGCTGTGGAATCACACTAGGAATAGTACATATTACCTTTTAATATTCTGTATATGTAATATGAAATGTTTTAGAAAGATCATAACTACGAATTTGAACATTCTTATTTATAAACAGCTTGGTGTTGATTTTGAACGCAGCCCAGCTGATCTAATGCCACTTCACCCCTACGTCATATCCGTTACACAACCTTCTCCGAGAGTTCTGTCCAAGATGGCGTCAACGCAGTTAACGGATGAGGAGCTTTTCTCCGAATTAAAGCGCTTTGGTTTCACTCCAGGGCCGGTAACCGAAAACACTCGCCCGGTATATTTGAAGAAATTGAAAAAGCTTCGGGAAGAGCAACAGCAGCGGGGCTCCAGGCCGGTTAAAACCCGTAGCAGCGGGGCCATCAGTAGCAGCACTGGCGGCGGCAACACGGCGGGATCCAGGCCAGCCAGCCATGACGTCACGCACCTGAGCTCTAGCAGGAGACCGGGCCGGAAGTCCTCCGTCCTCGGCTTCAGCTCCGACGAGTCTGACGCTGAAACTCCATTTAAAAGAAAGGGCCTCAACCACAGCGGCAGGGTCGTCCGAAGCCCCGGGTTTCAACAACAACCTAAGATAAGGCCCGTTACCACACCGAGTGTTGCTAACAAGAGTCAGTATGGCGCTACGAGTACGCTAAATAGCAACAATTCTTCCCCGGGTCCGGACGGACAGAGAAGTGTCTCGCTGGGCTGGGGAGTTCGTGCCAGATCCAGCCCCGAGGCGGAAGGGAGGGATTACGACGAATCGGGGGACGAGGACGATTGTGAGGGGGAGACGGAGAAGAACTCTCGCTCTTTAAATGGCTGTGGGGCGCTTCACGTGAACACTAGCAAGCTAGCCGGGGATTACTCAGACTCAGACGAGGAGGAGGTTGGGGGCCTTGGTGCCGCAGACAGACAGCGGGATAGGTTGGAGCCTAGACGGAGCCACCCGAAAGCGGCGTTCCCTTCCCACGGAGTCGGCCGAGGGTCTCAGACTGGAGGGGTAGCAAGAGAGATTAACACGCCTGAGAGTCTAAACATGGTGGGGAGCCGGAGGGAGGAGCGGGAGGGAGACGAGGTGAAGAGAAGGGAACCGGACTCATCGGGAGGCTTGCGGAGCCACAACTTTGCCAGGAAGTCCATCTACGTGTCCCTCGGCGAGAACCACGGAGCAGAGGCCGGCGAAAACAACCACGTCGACGGCGACCACGGAGCCTCCAGAAGCAACAACACTAGTCGATTCAGCATCGGATTGAGACCGCGCTTCTCCAACTACAGCAGCCTGTCCCAGACCTACAGGGGCAACCACTCCAACCACGTCGCTGCCAGCAACCCGTACAGCCAGGCGGTGCTGAAGCAGAAGCTGTCTGTTCCGGAGGATGAGCTGCTCCAGCAGTTCAAACGGGAAGAGGTGGCCTCCTCCGGCAGCTTCAGCGCTCACTACCTGTCCATGTTCCTGCTCACTGCAGCCTGCCTCTTTTTTCTGCTGCTGGGCCTCATGTACCTCAGGATGAGGGGCTCTGGATCCTCTGAGGTGGATGGAGTCAGTAAGTATCTGTCAAGATGTGCTATGAAAGCTTTTCAATTGTTCATCCCCAGACAGTGTCAGATATGTCCATTTGCAATTTAGTGTTTAGTAGAAATGCATCCCCATCTGGCGTGGTGGGGGTTGAATGTCTATTTTCTTTTTCAAATGCGGCATCCCCTGTACAGCCACTGTTTGACACTGATTGTCAGAGTGAAGTGATTTATTTACACAGAGCCTTTAAACACACTATTATCGTAAAAACAAAACAAACATTGTTGCCTCTATTTGATTTTTTTATAAATTTGTGGAGATTCACAGCGTTTTCCCTCCTGCACTGTACTGCACTTCCATTTTCAGCACAGACAGGATCTGTCTGCGCCCACTGCTTCTGATCTTTGAAGAAGACATACTTTATTAACACCGCAAGGAGGAAATACATATTTTTATAATATACACCCACAGGTCCAAAATACACACACACACAAACAGGACCTGTGCACTTGCATTAATGTATCTCGCCGGTTACGGCCACCCTCTGGTTCCCAAGCCAAGTCCCCTTCTGAGCTACTGCAGTCTTGTGGCACAAGACATCAGCTGGTTAGCTAGTGCTAACTTCTAAAATATGTAGTAGGGACAGACTGAACAAAGTAGGATCTACACACCTGACTTAACCTGACTCCCATGGCGTCACGTCTCATAACCAGTGATACTATTTAGTCTGCAAATGCAAACACGGACCCACAGATCAGTGTGCACAGTCCTGTTTTAAATCTCCTGCAAGTAGTACAATCACTGGGTTTGTTTTGTAATTGCCAGAGTCAGATAGCCCTCAGACAGGGACATAACCCTAATTCCCCTCTAAGCAATGCTGGCACTGATGTTGGCCCAGTCCTGGCCCCAACACGCTCTACAAGGTGTTGTTTCTGATGTGTTTGTGATAATGCTAATTACTTTTCAGCAGTCTCCAGGTAGTTGCTCATTGCTGGCCCAATCTTTCACATGTCCTCCTTCATGTATGAATAATTATAACTGTCCAGACCTTCCTGCACTTGCAGACTTAAAGGGTGGCCTCCCAGGAAGTCTGTGAATGCCCTGGCATCCCAAATCCACAATTCATCAAGTACTCAAAAATTCTATTCTTGAACGCGCTTTCTGCAGACTTCATCAGACTTTGCTCTGAAGATTACCCACAGTGTGACCTAATATTGACAAGACAAATGAAAAATAAAATCATGGATGTAAACAATGCTGGTTTAAAACTTTGGCTTTTTTCAAACGTGTGTTCAACTGGAAGGGATGCGTTCATCATGTTTGTTAAAGCTCATGGAAACACACGGTGGGTTTAGGCGAGGAGCACTGAATGTAAACACAAAAGGGTGTTTCTTTACAGGAAAACCCTCAACAGAGTACCTTTTAATCGATGAATCCTTGGGGAAATAGTTTCAATGTATTTGAGAATCATGCGATCACGTTGCCACCTGAAATTGTTCTATTGTGAAAATAAACTCCGATTTCTGATCTGAAAACCAAGAGCTGAGGTTTGAGAATATAACAACTTAAGTGTTGATTGATGATCATTCGAAATTCCCTGAAACCTGATGAGATAATGATGTGCCAAATGAAATATATTCGCATTGGAGAAACCTATAATATAACCGATTCTGCTCTTCTTTGTTTCGCTCAAATCACAAGAAGACAGATTTTCCTCCTTATGTTGTGTGGTGTCTAGTATTGTGTGTAATTTGTTTTGGGTTTTATTTGAAGTTGAGACTTGTACCACCACACAGTACAGTGGAGGTAAATTTTTATTGTGGCGCTAACAGCATCAATACAAATTACAACTGTTTTCACTGTAAATTATTTAGTACCAAAGATGTTTCAAGTCTTTTGTCCACCTCATGTAAATATGGGAGTGCAAGAATATTCAAAACACCTCAAACATTACTATGGATTATGTAAGATGGAGTCATAGTGTCAACAGTTAAAGTTGGCAGTGTTCCAGGTGCCTGGTTGAGTTTCATGTACAGACGCTGACTCACGCATGTTAAGTGATGTCTGATCTGAACTACACTCACATTCCACAGTCTCTAAACACGGAATCTTATTAGAAAAGACCAGATTTCTCCTGAAGCTAATCCAGCGTGGGCCTTTACAAGTGTGATGTCTGAGGTTTACAGTGGGGTTTCAGTGGGCAAGCTGTTTCTGTCTCTTGACCCCATCTCTTTCTCCTTTGTTGCAGTTAAGAGCCATCCTTTGGCAGCGAGTTTGACACTTCTTATGTAAGTAGACATTTTACTCTGACCCCCTCTTTTTAAATTCTGTGTACAGCAAGTGCAAAGTGTACACTTAAACTGGAAGTATAATGGATGTCAGCAGTGAACACCGCTGAAGTGCTGCTATGATAATGAAGTGAACTTTCTTTCTTGGCAATGCTAATCCCAAAGGCAGTGCTACACTTCTGATGTTTGTTGTGACTGACATTGCATTTAAAGGCAGAGAGTAGCAATTATTTTGCTGGGAGGTGTTTGTACAACACTATACATTAAGGGTAGCATGAAGACCTGGCCTGTGAAAACACTTTACCTAAAGTGACAGCGAATACTATCAATAACACACATTAGGTTCTAAATTCATATTCACATTCATTAAATCTTTGAGTCTAGACTGTAGAGATGTCTGGAGCTGATCCAGGCGTAGTTTAATGGGTCTGGATTAGCTAATAAAAAGGGCAGATAAAAATCCGACCCTGTCTTGACTATTCCCTACTGTGTTTTGTCCACATCAGCATGCAAGCCCTGCAGCGCTGCATTTCTATACCACTGCTGGCCTCTACAGTGCAGCATGCCACTGTGTGCTCCAGTATAAATTAGTGTGCAGATGTGAAAAGTAGTGACTCTGAGTTCAGACATGGATTTGCTAAGCGCGGATGCTAATGATCATTAGCAAAGAGCAGCGTAGAAAACATTCAGTTGGCAGCTTCTCACTTTTTAACTGGCTGTTGCCTTCTCCAGTTAAAATAACATCGCCGGGCGGCTGATCATACCAGCTGTCACCAGTGAATGTTAATTTCATGAGTAACTTGACACCAGGCCATAAACTTGTCTTTTGTCTGTTAAAATGCTTTCTGCAGCCGTGGTCTCCACTCTTAACACCGCTGTAGAACCCGCTAGCAGACGAGTGTTGCTGTGGTTCAATTAAAGCCAACAACTGATCACGTCACGTTAATTTCAGGAGTCCTAATCTCCCAGTTTAACTTTCATTCAGTCCATTATTAACTTAATATATTTGAACCAAGACCTTCAGTATGTGGATGAAGTAGCTTGTTAAAAACAACGTTTGTCAGATTTAGCAATAAGTAGTAGGGTCGGATTCAGTATCAGCAGATACCCAATGTTAAATGTCAAGACCAAAAAACATGATCCGGACATCCCTACTAGAGTTAATATTTTGTGTCCTTTCAGGTTTTCAGTTTGGACTTTTTTTAACTGTCATAGTGCCACCAGAAAGGTCTACATGCATACATTTGAAGATAAATGAAAATGTACATATAAACTAATAAATAAATGCAGTTCTGTTGGTAGACTGTGTCCACTAAGTGTTTTCACTGTCTGCAGGAAAAGGAGGTGAAGGACGTGATCCTAAACCTGCTGCTTAATCTACATGATCACCTGGCCCACATCGCTGGTAGCTATTAACTGTTTTCTTCTAGTTCTTTAGAAAAACATGACGGTGACTTAAACATTTGCTCTTACAAATGCACACTATTGTACTGTACTTGAGGAACTCAAGGACTCACATGGCTTGAGGAAAGGTAATAGATTGTCAAAGAGGTCATCAGTCAGACAGAGCTGGTAAAAGCAGCTTTTAATGTTGTAATAAAAAAATGTTTAAACTGTCCTCTAATATAAACTTCAGGTCATACTGTCCAGTCTCTTTGTAAACACGAGCACTCATCAGTGGATCAACAGGATGTGAAGACACATTGGGATGAAACAGGCAGTCAGTAATGGGGTGTGATATTGTAATTACAGGCCAGCATGACTGTGGAGACCAGCAGCATCCAAACAGGAGTCTGTCTATGGAAGAGGCATCTGCGTATTTACTGGTATGTTCATAAGTGGGAGGGATAGATGGGGGATGACACGCAGTGGGCTGTGGGCCGCTGCAGTACACGGTGCGCGTGCTCTACCAAGTGAGCTAACCGCGCCCCCCTTTGTCTTTTTATTGAGCAAAGTCTGAATTTTGCGAAAGGGGACTTTGGAAGAATACATTAGAGTGTACTTTCCAACGTGTTTGCTTTGGTTTAGTTGTTCTTAGTCCAGTCTGAACGCAGGATCTGAGATTGATGCTGAATCAGTTCCATTTGTCTTTTGTTCAGGCTCAGAATGAGGAGTTTGGTAACTTCACTCATACTTCTCTGGAGTGGATCATCCGGACAAGCCAGGATGTTGGGATAAGGTAATGCACTATATACTGTACTTACTCATGCAGATCACACGCCTCCCATGTAACTACTGTCTATACTCACTGTGTGTGTGTGTGTGTGTGTGTGCGCAGGTTGATTGGCCAGGTAGCAGAGGATCCAGTGACTGATGTGTCTGAGATCTCTCGGCTGGAGTCCACTCATCCCAAGATGCCCTTCACGTGCCGCTTCCGCCGAGCCTTCCTCACCGTCATCAGCAGAGTCTTTCTCATCGCAGTTGGTGAGATAGGTCACACCATGAAACGAGCAGTGTAAATCACTGTTAATTAGTGTGATGATTAGTGCACCTACAGCTGTTACAGTAGGTGTTAACCGATATATATGGCATGTTTTCCTTTGTAAATACTTGAGAAAATAACGCCAAAGGATGAAATGAGAAAATATGATAAAGAATTGCTGATCCTAAAAACAGATGTGAACTCTTGTGCTGTACATTACACGGTGGAATGGGATAAGTGAAAACTGCTGCTGGGGGAACTAGATGAAAAGTCAGGGACTCAGTTAAGTCATGAGGATTCATGCTCTATGGACCTTGAATACCGGTGTCTGTCAGGATATTTTAGTAGGAACCAAAGGTGTGGACCGACCCACTGCCCGCTGCTGCAGGGCTGACGGCGTTTCAGCTGCGTTTTTCAGTCCATTTCTGAACGCGTCTGATGGAACACATATTCTTCTATTTGAAACAGTCCAGCTGTCTACCCAGGCCACGCAATGGCTCGTGATTAACTTGTACTTTAAGAGTGTAGCTGGGACCTGAAGTGAATTTTTACAAAGTTCAAGTCTATTTTCTTCTGTTTTATGCGCATAACTACAGTGATTGTGTATTTGGGCTGTTAGAGTTGCAAAATAGTGGGTGACCTAAATCAATAATGTGCCTGAACACATTTTGTGTCAACACCAAGCGGCAACTGCCGGGGCTAAAAAGTAAAGCCAACGTGGAAGTGCCAAAAAACTTCAGTTCCTCGGATCTCAACTTGATGCTGGCTCCAAAGCTGAGTCGATTCCCATAGCCCCCCATGTTAGAATGCCCACCATTACAGCAGAAATAACATGTTTAATATGTGGTTTGGTTGCTACTTTCCCTAGCTGTCAGCTAGCTTCACCCACGCTCCACCTATTTGCTCATTTTTGGATTAGCGAGAGGCCAGACGCCACCACACTGAGCTTCACAATTGCTCTTCAGAAAGCTATGGATGACTCCACAGAGACTGTCACACAATCCTACACATAGGGCGTTAAGGAAGGAAAAACATTACATTAATTGTTAGTTTGCTGCATATAGATAAATCCTTCATTATTAACACAGGTGTTGATTAAGGGACATCTATAGCCATGTTTTATCAGAGTCACAGCAGTAACAGGAGAAGCAGCAGTGGCAGCAGTTTTTCAGTAGTGTGTGTGTTTGAACCTGTGTGTGTGTCTCTGTGCAGTGGTAGGCTGTGTGTGGAGTGTGGTCTGCTACATGAAGTATCGCTGGAGGAGAGAGGAGGAGGAGACCAGGCAGATGTACGATATGGTGGAAAGGATCATCGGTAAGAAACGTCACACATGCCCCCGAATGTCAAGCAAGTGAATGTGTTTGCTTACAGAAACAGCCTGACGTCTTGAGGAAACGTATTTGCTGTCTTACGCAGACATGAGTCATCTGTACGACTGTAGTATTCATGTGTGTCCCTTACCGCGATGGTCCCCAACATGTTTTCTCACAAAGCAGTGGTTTAGAAAACTGCTGTCAGAAGTGAGAGAACAAAAATACTCATGATAAATGAACAACATGAAGTACTAATACATAGAAAAAGTATACAGTTATGTGTATGTAAATCCTGTTCTGAATACTTGTGTTAATCATGCACATGATGTCACAGTGATTTGTGTCACAGCCTTGCTTGGTTTTTCTCTTGAGTGCTGTATTTTAGCCTCATGTTTGAATCCTGTGTTGATGATCAGATGTGTTGAGGAGCCACAGTGAGGCCTGCCAAGAGAACCAGGACCTGCAGCCCTACTTGCCCATCCCCCACGTCAGAGACTCCCTTGTTCAGCCTCAGGACCGGTCAGTACCAACACTGCCACAGCTTGATCTTTAGTATCTGAATCTGGATAGAAAAGTAGGATTCAGAAAATTATCTCAGGGACGGCCTGAAAATTCAGTCAGAATATTCGTTAACGTCTCAGCAAATGCAAGAAAATCTATTTAACATCATCTACACCACTGACGGCTGATGAATTTTCCTCACTGTTGATCTAACTAAACAAAATAAAACCATGCATGTCATAATGGAAACTTTGCACAATGGCTCCATTCAAAATAAGTGGACTGCTGGAGAATGTCCTGTTATGCTTAGGTCATATTTGGTACCTGGTACACAAAAGGATAGCGCAAACATCTGTTTCCTTCTTCAGTAGTAGTAGCACTGCTCTCCTTCTCCACTCCCATGGAGATGTGATTTAGCAGCGTTTTCAAACACGATATTTTACAGGAAGAAAATGAAGAAGATCTGGGAGCGGGCTGAGAGCTTCCTCTCAGCCAACGAGTCCAGGATTCGAACAGAGACTCAGAGGATTGGTGGGGCGGACTTCCTGGTCTGGAGGTGGATCCAGCCGTCTCTCAGTTGTGACAAGACCTCCTTGATGCCCTCCAAAGTTTGGCAGGGAAAAGGTAAAACACACTGCATTGCACAGCATTTCACTCAAACTGTAGCAGTGACTTCACAACTGATAGGCAACAGCATACCATCACCGCCCTCCCATTTTTCCAAGCAGCAGCAATGTTTAGTAAACAAGCTACTCCTAAGGGCCCCAGCATGCTCCATGCAGCGACCCAATCTGTAGGGGTCTGCATACTGTCTGCAAGAATTTCTGTGGACATGTTCAAGCCGAGCTCTCGTCTGTGCAGGAGTTACCATTGATTTCTTGCACAGTAAGGATTTTGTTTGTGTATCATATTTCAGCATTAAGGCTGTTCAAAAGAAACATCACAAAAGAAAGAAATATTGGTATAATAAAGTTAAGAACTGAATAATTATTTAATATAAGGCAGCGGCAAACAGGAAAGAAAAAAGAACTGGGAGTTGCAGCGGACCTGCAATTTTCTGGGAGTTTAAGATATTCTATTGTATTCAGTTTATTTATGTAGCGCCAATTCAAAACAGAAGCTATCTCACTGCACTTTTCAGACTGTACTACACTGTACTCTTTGTAGTTTTATTTGCCCAACAATTCCCACCACAAGCAAGCATTTGGATGGCTTGCAATCGTAGATCCAGACTCTACAACTCCAGAGGCAGAAGCACCTGATGAAAGCAACGCTGGTCCAAACTGAACGCTGCTTTTCCAGGTTTAGTTTTGACTCCGGGGACACAAGGCAGACCTGTCCCAGACCACCTGAGAGGTCCGGATGGTTTGTAACGTAGCAGAAGGTCAGAAATGAACAGCAGTACTTTGAAATCAGTTCTTCAACACACAGGAAGTCAGTGTAAAGACCTCAGAACTGGACTGATGTGATCCACTTTCTTGGTCTTAGTGAGGTACCCGAGCATCAGCTGCAGGACAGTTACAGTAGTTGTGTCGACTGAAGATAAATGGGTGAATAGTTTTGGATATTTGTTTTTCCAATCCTGCTGAGACATAAGTCCTTTTAAGCTTTGATATATTGTAATCGTCTTATTGTGGCTGTTGAAATTCAGGTCAGAGTTCAGGACTACACCAAGATTTCTGGCTTGTTCTGTGGGTTTTAACATTGCATTTTGAAGCTGACTTGATTGTTCAAGTCTCCTTGGCTCCCAAAAACAGTTCTCCATGCATTGAACAATCGTTAATTTGTTCTGTGCACATACTCACTGCTCGTACTGGACAAATAGTACATAGTAGTAATGGTGATAGTAGTTTACAATCACCATTCCGGCTCAATGTCGTGATGTCTGTCAGATGGACGATGGCATCGTCTTATCAGCCCAACCCTAGTTCTGAGTTCAGACTTTTAATGTGGCTGTATGTCGCTGCTGTACAGCTTTTATTAATCCATCATCGTTATCTGATGTTTTGGAAGCAGGCGGAGGAAGTGATTGTGCCTGGTTTCCCACAGACCAAAGAGCCAGTCCTCATTAAGGAGTGGCCTCCACACATTGGCTGGATACAATTGTGGAGTTTAGCGGAGGTTTGTGGGCGCCTGTGTTTGCGTGGCCCAGTCACAAGAAGCATGCAGCCAGTTTCCACAGTAGCTTGTGGTTGACAGGCCCTGGTTATCATGTCATCTTGCAGTGTGAACCAAAACATACTCTGCCTGTGATTCCACCTTACCTGCCAATTAACACACGTTCACTGGACAGTATTGAAGCAGCTACGTGACATAATTGTCAGTTCATTGATTTGATTTCCTCTCCTCTTCAGCTTTCCCTCTGGACCGGAGGAATTCACCTCCCAACAGCCTGACTCCATGCCTGAAGATCAGAAACATGTTTGACCCAGTCATGTGAGTACCTGCTGCTTGTTTGCTGCACCAAACTCATTCTGTCCCCCCCCCCCCCCCCCCGGTTTGACTTTCTGCTCACTACTCTCTGTTTTTCAGGGAGGTGGGGGAGAACTGGGATCTAGCCATCCACGAGGCCATCCTAGAGAAGTGCAGCGACAACGACGGCATCGTCCACATCGCCGTCGACAAGAACTCACGAGAGGTATACGCCGTCCTGTGAGTGATGAGCGCACTCCATGCTGTTGGCTGCAGTGATGTCTCACCACACTTCCTGTTCTCTCCACAGGGCTGTGTCTACGTGAAGTGTCTGTCTGCAGAGCACTCAGGGAAAGCCTTCAAGGCACTTCATGGCTCCTGGTTTGATGGTAAATTACAGACTTGATTACACATGACATTTAGCATCAGCAGAAGTTAAGAAAAGAAAAAAACAAGGGACTGTGTTTATGCCGGTGTGTTGGTACAGGCACACGTTAGAAGATGATATGCAAAGTACAGTTGGAATAATCCTCAACTAGTGATGGCAGATCACACTGAGTGACAGTTAAAATGCTATTGACGATTTAAAAATGCTAGTTGTGACATTGTACTGCAGAATTTAGGCTTACATTGATGAATTAGTTACATCACGACCCTTATTCAAGATTCACTAAGGCTACGTTAATGTGCAGGTCTTAATGCCCAATTCTGATTTTTCCCAGATCCGTTTTTTTTTGTTTGACAGTTCACAGTCACAGTGTAGTTTAAATGTGGTCCATATCAGACTCCAGTGTGAACTGTCCGCAGCCTGAAAGTGACCCGCATGCGCAGAAGAATAACACAAGCTCCTCGCTGTTGTCCAGGGGTGAACAAGGAGCCACAGAGGTTAGATCTGGTTAGCTCCTACTTGCTAACCCTCCCAATTTTCACGGGGGACTCCTGTATTTCATTGTCCTCTCACGGGTCACATTTCTCACGAATTATGACAAATGTTCAAACCTTTCTGTTCTTTTCATTACGGTTTCTGCGCTGTACAACGCATCTGCCCCAAAACTCTCTCTCTCTTTCCACTATGTCCGCTGGGACAAAAAGCCTGCATGTAACTCAGAAGAGAGCTCGCGGTCCGGTGGAAGAAAGGTAATTTGTGGGCAGATGATAGCAAGGTAGACAAGGAGAGCCACATGTTTAATACTGGCTTTTTGAGGAGCCTTTTTCGTTCACCGCGGCTCTGTCTACAGCAGAACTGTGACAACAGCTGCTCTACAGTGACGTCAAAGTGGCACGAATGCCGACCTGAGTGTCCAGACTGAGTTGCATTTAAAAAGATCCGATCTCTATTGGATGTGGACCACATATGAAAGTGGCCCAAATCAGAACTGGAAAAGATCAGATTCCATGTGACTTGGCCTGTTATAAAACACTGTTATAAAAAGATCAGATCTGAGTCACATATGAGCAAAATAATCGGATTTGGGTCACTTCAGCCTGCAGTCTGAACGTAGCCTAAATGTATTTGTAGCAATTTTCTTGCTAAACCATTTTCTACTGTCCATATTCAAATACAACCATCACTGATATGACTATAGTGATAACCTTTCATACCTCTTAAGCAAAAAAGCACACTGCATTAAAAAACAAGCCAACAAATCCCAGACCCTCAATAACCACCGCTGCATGAAATTCCAGCCATTTTGCAGCAAAATACACTTGCAAGTGTTTGACTGCAGTGTACAGTAGGTTTCACTCAAAAGTACCAGTGCAGATGAGTCAGTGTATCGCCCAGGTCAGACTCAACAACACGAACACGGTGACTCTTACTGAGGAATAAAATAAACGCTGAATTTTCCATCCAATACCAGAACTCTGCTGCATCATGTGTCATAGCTACTTATGATTGACAGCTACCGAGCGCCGCACTGAAAATTGTTGTAATGTTAAACAGGACCTGATATTTATCAATCAGCGTTTGACATGGTCTGCCACACATGAATACACTAAACCAGGTGTTAGTTTTTTTTTTCTTCTTGCCCTCTCTGTGCAAAAATATTAATATTAATGTAAAATTCAAGGCTGATTAGTTTTCCAGATGAAATATACTTTCTTGGTTCTCAGTTCATGCTTCATATGTCCTGACTTGAGAAAGCGAGGCGCTCTCAGCCTCTCCTTCCCAATATGAGTTGTTTTTTAGTAAGCTGAGCGTTGTTCGCAGGCCAGCTGATTCATTTTCTCCTCTGTGCGGCCTGTTATCAATGTCTGTGTGGAACAGCTGCTACGTGGGGACCAGCTCAGTTTAACATTGTGTTAGTGACAGCGGTCCCCCTGGAGCCCGTAAATCCAGCTCTGCTCAGTGTGATTTTGCCGTTTTCTCCTCGGTTTCCACAATTGCATGATGCAGAGGTCCGCTGGCACGTGTGTGATAGGCCAGTGCTGTGTGTTGGCAGATGATGGCGCCTTGTGTGGTTGAAAAGTTGAGCCAGATGAAACTGCTGCACATCCCTGCTTCTGAGCGCCTCAGTGAGGACAACGCAGCGGCCTGAAGGCAGCATGAAGGGCCTGTTTTTACTGTCCTCAACACACCTGACCAGTCCCTGTGGAAAGTAGCTGTGATTTTCAGATTGTTTTGGAAAGTTAAAGGATGCACACCCCCTATTTCGACGTTTTGGTAGGAGGGGGTTTTAGATGCATCAGTGAGCAGTGTTTGGGTGTCTGATGTTTTGCTGTAAAGTCTTTAGACCCACTGGCGTAAGGTCAAACTGGACTGTCTGGATTGTATTTCAACTTAGCAATACGCTCACTCCTACACTGCCCCTCGTGCTATTTTTATCATAGCCATCATCTCCAACACTGAGCAGATAACAGTAGTTGTATGTGGGAGGATTTAGAAAATGTTGAAACGGCAGTAGAAGGTGACATTTTGTACCAAAACAAAAGTGAAGTATGGTGACAAACCTCAGCGTCCTGCCTGTAGCTTTTGACTCACTGGTTTGAGATGTTGGATCTTGGGTGAGTGTTCCTGTTGCCCCCCACCCCCCTATGAGGAAGCTGTAAGCTCTAATGTGATCTTGGCTCCATGTGTTGAAGGGCACCGCTCACTGACAGGCTCCTGCTCTTGCTTTGCCAGGTAAGCTGGTGACGGTGAAGTATCTGCGTTTGGACCGATACCACCAGCGCTTCCCACAGGCCCACGGCTGCAGCACACCCCTGAAGGCCTCCAGTCTCCACCTGAACACCACGAGCACCATGAACACCCGCCTGCAGCACCGCGGCTCAGCTAACTGTTCAGGCTTCTCGTGAGATCAGCGTCAGCATTAGATTTAGCATTCTCCTCCGTGCCCTCCCAGCACGACAGCACCAGCCTGCTGCTGCTCCTTCACTGCTTTATAACGGGGAAGACTTCAGTCTGTGTCGCAGGAGAGCTTCTTCTTTTCTTTTATTTCCTTTGTTTGTTTGTTTTCAACACATGAGAGGCTGTTCAGCGGTGCAGTGTTTGTTTTCTGTAATCTTTGTTTTAGAAATGTCATGGATTTAACAAGGAAGCAAAGTTCTTCTGGAATATTTAAGATGTGTGCAGAGACTCCAACCCTCCCTCCTCCTTCCACAGTCTTGACTGATGCCATGGTGGAGTTCATCCGGGCACAGTATGGAAATGGCTGCATGTATCAGAGTATGCGTCTATGTAAGCTTTCAATACCACAGTGTGGGTGTTAATTTCCTGAAGATGTTCGATGTACTCCGGGATTTTTATTATTCTGATTATTATTTAGTCAAGTGAGGAAGGCATGAACCGGCTTGCAGAGGGCGTGCTGTAAATACATGTGAATGGTGCCACAAGCTTTATTACATCCTCAGTTTTAAAAGCAAACCATGAGCTCACATTTTTCTGGCTGCTCACTTATCACAGCAAAGCGCATCTGTAACCAGTAACACTCCCAAAGAGGCAGCAGCAGCAGCAGCAGCAGCAGCGATACACAGAACAGCCCAGCCGATAGAACAGGGCAACAGTGAGGATGTTGACTCAGCTACTGTGTTTGTTGTTTGCTCCATGTATTCCACGTGTGGCCGTTCCCTTTGTCCTTGGGTTTGTTATAGTATCCAGCGGTTAACGTTTGAGCGACGTAACAGAATCAGGGAGTGTACCTTTTAACAGTCACCTGAAGCTTTCTTCTCCAGATGTAACCCAATATATTCCCATGTTATTATTATTATTATTATTACTTATTGTTTTTATTATTTACCTCTTTCAAGTCGGGTCATTTTCACCTTTGGCATGTCCCCGTCATTGAATTGTATTTCCAGACCTGTTCCGAACGAGTGGTGTGTACATGACCAATAGGCCAGAGGAGCACACAGACTTCAGGGTGCTTCACGTCTAGTTTACGATCTGTGCTCGTGAGCCAGATGTTTCCGGTGATGATGATGAACCCGACTCTGTCACTGCTGCTCTTTGATCATGTCAGCCTCTTGTAATGATGCGACCACTCATTATTTAATTTTTTTTGTCATAAGGTGTACTGTGAGGAAGTTGACGGTTTGTAATACTCAATTCCAAATATTCCAACCACTGTAAGGAGACTATTGGATTTGGGGATTCCAGGTTGGTTGTGTGTTTTCACAAAATGCGACAAATCCAGGAGTTGCCCGACAGTTATGTATTTTTTTATGCAGTGAATTGAAAGTTGGATTCAGTAAGTATTTGCAGTGTGAAATTGTACAAATGATGCACATTTCAAATGTTCAAAACCTGTTGCAACAGTTTGCAGCAGACACCCCAACTGTGCCTTAAATATGTGTTTTTTTTAAGACTGGCACTGCATTACTGGAGAATGGCCTGGATTTAAGAGCCGCTGAAACAGTTTAAAGGGTAAGGCCTGCCATAGATGTAGTTTTGGTAGAATTTGACATCTTCTGATTTGGTGTTTTGTAGCAGTTTCATTTCATAGTAAACCAAATGCTTCTCTCTATTTATTTTTTTTTGTTAATCAGCTATGGTGATGTACTATTTTAATGTCACTAGACCTGTTACATAATGTGTCAACAAAATTTTTCATCGGCCTTACATCCGCTTCCAAACAAGTGTCAGGATGTGTAAAACAAAAATAAAGTGAACACTTTCAGAAATAAGCCAGTCGATGGTGCATCACTGCAATCTATTTTTGTACGTCTCCAGCGCCTGCAGCTTCTCGGCCAACACGGACTGGAATGAGGCTGAATGTAAATGTTGGTTTGATGTGACGGCACTTCTCCAGGCTTGTGCTCTACCTTTTAAATGTGTCCTCATGGATGCGTTCTTTTCCTCTGGTGTATTTTATGTAAACACTGTACATTGATATAACTGTATGTACTATTATATGCAGCTTTATTTCCATTGCGTTGTATGTTTGGAGTTACCAGTATCCCTAACCTGCTAGCCAGACGGAAGGGGGGAGGGAGGTGTACAATACTACAGACATTTAAAAATATACAGATGTTTTAATGTAATTTGTCAATTGTACAAACAGCTCAAATTAAAGGTTTATTAGGAGTTTTTAAATTGTGTGTGTTGTTTTTCTGTCATCTGCACATACCTGCCAAAACATTTTAGAAACAGCTTTCTGAGGTCTTTAAATTGAAATTGATTATTTATTTTTTCATGTTTTTAAAGTTATGGCTGTTGAAGTTCTTTAAAAGTCAAGGTCCCTGCCTTTTTTAACCCCACTAAAGCCTCACTGCGTAATGGCTCTGTTCTCTTGTAATGTAGTCAGAGAAACTATACACTCATGGCCATAGCCAACTTTTAGGTCCACTCCTCGGTAATTATTTCCATAAAAGATCAAATGTTTTAAAAAATATCTATGCTGTATAATCAGAAGTTGAAAACGTCCTCTGCTGTGAACTGTGTATCCAGTCTATGGCTGTGATCAAAGGTTGGTTACATTATGTGACATACATGCAGCCACTTGCATAATATATCTATCTACAGACAACCGCTCAATTGTTAAATCCAATCCACTTATTAAATCGTGAAGTAGCGGGCATCATGGGAGTTGTTGTCTTCAGCACCGTCAGCTTCTCCTGGTCAGGATTCCTTCCTTCAGAGTTCACCCAGGTTTTTATCAGTAGCCGAATTATTGGCCGAAGTCTCATCTACTTCAAAACAAACAGATCAAGTGAATAAAACCAGGGGTGTCCCCTGTATAAAGCGGTTTCGCGTAAAAAATGTTTATTTTCGACTCTGTTCGGTGTACAAAGGACGTCCCAAAGGGGCTGCGAGCCGAGCTTGCTGATAACGTTTGCTCAGCTTGTTTTCTCTTATAATTTAAGATCCTGACATTCGGGAGGTTTTTATCGTGAGCCGAATTATCCGCAGAGGTCCCCTCCTCTCTAAAATAAACGGATCAGATGAATAAAAACGGGAAGAACACCGAATAAAGCAGTTGAACGTTAAAATACTGTGTTTTTCCGGCAGACACAGGTTTCGAGTAGTAAGGGGATCTGACGCAATTGACAGGCGATCAAATGGAATTACATTTACAGATTTTTCTGGGTTTGAAAATAATTGGAAACATTTGGGATAATGTAAGTACCAAACTCAGCAAAATAAATAACAGGTCAAGTTGTTATTATACATTTTAATGCGGAAAAGTTACAAATGATATAATGATATGAGTATTTAATTAATATTTTATTGTTTTATAATAAATGCTGTTAGCATTTATTCATATTATTATTTTTCAATTTAAACTGACCCCTCTGGGATTTAATACCCGTGATGACACAGTTTATTCCCAAAGGACAGAGATACTTTCAGTGGGAAACTCATGGAATAGACAAATCAAGATTCACTATTACATAACGCGTGCAGGCCATAGACTGGTGCAGGCTTACACAGTAGCCTAGCGCGTTAGACATTCCACCATAAACTTACGATGCACACTGTGACATTTTATTGTGTTTCGTTAGCTTCGTCAGAAAAAGCTATTTTCTGTCAGTCCGGTCGCGTCATGAGGCTGCTATCAGACGGCAGACGGAACCTGAGTGGGGTCCTGCCCATAATTGGAGATGTGCGGGTCTCCTGTCACTCTACCCGCACGCGCACGCACACCCGCGCGCGCGCACACACACACACAGCCTGTTGGTCGACGGGACGGGTCGTGTTAGCATTTCAGGCTGTGTCTGTTCCTGGTCTGCTTTATGTACCGACCTGTTACCGGAAGATCATCGCTAGCGACAAAACTCCTCGCCGTCGCGTTTCTGCTGCTGCTCTACTCCGGTATGGAAACGTCTGTTGTATTTTGTGGACTAACGCTAACTTCCTAACAACACTTGGATGTTTCAGTATGGCGTAAGCTGCTGGTGACACAGGTTAACGTAAGCAGGGTGCAGAAAATGAAGCCTGTAGTCAAACATGATTTTACCTTGTAATTCATGTTCCGTGATGACGCCAGAATGCACATATTTTTTGTTATATTCGGTGTTTTTATTGGGGGGTAAATACAAGTAATTTATTTCTAAAACTCATTACATAAACACGTCCCGGAATGATGGTGAACCTCAAGGTATTTTAAACTGCGCCTTACTGCCATCTAGCGGCCGAGGCTGCCACCGCAGCTCCACTTCACCTCTTGGACAGTTGGATGTGCAGGCTTCTGTGTCTGCACTCATATCTGCCCCTGCAGAGGGACAAACCTTTCAACTCTTTGGTTTACCAATAGAGTTTAATATGTGGCACCCCACGTGAGCTGATAATTTAAAGTTTTTGCTGTAGTTGGAGTTGAGTGACAAAATAACAAAGCACCGTGGATTGCCCCTCCCAGCTTTAGTTCCTGTGCTCCTGCCAGCGCCAGAGGAAGCTGTGGCAGAATGTTTTTCATTGTTTGGTATGGCGTTGTTTGGCTGACCTCATTCTGCAGCAGAGTGGCACAGCAGTGCACAGAGCCCAAGACCTGCAAATCTTGGTGAGCTTCTTCCCTCAGTGGACAAAGCTGATGGGATTTCGTAGCAACCTGGAAGTCCCAGTCATTTGCTTGCAACATAGATATCTGTAGCCGTTTACTTGGATTTATTTTTATAGTGGATTGTGTGGAGATCGATTTTGTCTCACTCTAATTTGTGGGAACAGACTGACAATCTGTGGATAAATGTGAAATCTGCAAATATAAAAAAGCCTCAGATATTTAGCAAATACACACGTTCCACAAATAAAAAGATCTGTGAATACATGAAATGAATTCACAACTTTCACTCAGCCACACCTGCCATACCTTCACCAGCCTGAAGGAAAAGCCACTTGTATCACAGCACGTGATCGCCTGCTGACGTAATTTCTCTTCCCAGAAGAGGAGGGTGAGAAACTGATGTGAAAGAATGTAAAAAGGGTAGATTCACAATAATTCAAGAGCTAAGGAGGTAGGAAGTGCTTTTAATATACTGTTTGAAATGTGTATAGATATATATACAGTAGTTTACAATGAAAACTCCAGAATAACCTTTTTATATTTTGTTGACGAGACAGGGGTGTAACATAAAATGCTCATCAGTGCTAAATCAAGTACCGTGGTATTTAGCATTATAAAGGGTAAAATGTCGACTCAATTATTCTAAATGTTGTTGTTGGTCTTGTTCGTTCTTATGTTTGGCTCCCACAGGTAGAAGGTTTGCACAGCACTAATGCTTGCTGCGCTTTAAAGGATTATTTGGGTGTTTACGTTTGCCTAAGTGTGCATGCTGGCTCACTGGGTCATTTAAATAGAACGGAGCCACTGTTGATGTTATTAGTAATAACTGTGCTTTCATTCTATGACGAGTCAAAATGTCTCCTCCTTACATTTCTTTATAATCCTGTATTAAATTCGAGCAACCAGAGTTTCCTTTAGTTTTAGTAGTACTGCCCTGTCCAAAGTTCCTGCACTCTCATTTCAGCTGTTCTTTTTAATTGAGCTCTGTTGCATCTGAAGTATAAGTGCTATGCAAATGAAATTATTTGTAGAGCCCGACCGATACACATATTAATATTTGAGGATTTTAAAATCTGTCTTGCGTGGTATTGTTGCCCAAGACAAATTTCCCTCAGGGGACATTAAAGTTTATTTTGATCCTGACCGCTGATTGTTGTGTTTTGTCGTGCGTTTGTGGCGTCATGCTGCCAACAGGGGAGCAGCCGAATGCCCTCTAGTGGACAAACTATGCAACAACAACAATCCTAACATGACTGAAGGATCCGTTTTCCTTCTCTCCGTTTCTTTTTTAATTGACATTCTTCGGCTGTTATAATCAACGATACTGATTTATCTCATTTCGGCCCAAATTATTGACATGAACATTTTTTTTAGTCAGGCTCTAACTATTAGTATTGTTATTATTACTATACCACAATCACATTGACAAATGGACAGAAATAAATGGATGTTCATTTAGTGACGGGATGAGGCAATCCTGAGGCACTGGCCAAGACGCGCATTAGACGGCCTGCTTTTTTCCCGGTTTTTGAAGAGTTCAATGATGACTCTCATGTGAATGTGGAGGGGAACATTGTGAGTAAGAGCACTGCAGGACCACTCGTGCTTCTGAATGGAGCCCGGGGAACCACACTGATCCAAAAGTCACTCACCCGAACATCTTTGAGTTGTGCTTTGACCAAGTCAGACGTTCCCATCTCCGAGACCTCCATCTGAAGAGTTGCCTCATCTGTGGAAGACGCCACGGAAGACTGTTGTTCTGCGGGTTAATAATAGTCCCACACTCCTGAAAACACTGCTATATAAGGCCATCTTTGTAGAGCCCAAAGCACCTCGCTCAAACAGAGTGAGGTTTTCCTCTTGGATTTAGGCTCTTTGGCTTTGAATATCTGTCTATTATGTGAATATTTTGTCATACGGTGGCAAATCATTGATTCAAAGAGATTAAATCCAGTCTAACCTTCACCTGGGGCAGTGACCACACTGTTTGTTGTTAGTCAGGGAATTATTCTATGCTAGACTCAGAAATGTACAGTAATGGGCAGATATGTTGGATCAGTTCTACCTTCTAAATCACAGTCTCTGTATCTCTCTCTCTTCAGTGTGACTGTGTGTCTCATGGCTGTCCTCTTCAGACGTGCGCTCTTTGTGGCCCGCCATCGTGCCCTTGGGCAAGGCAGCAGCTCAGTCTGCCACCCTGCACTGCCTGCTGCTCTTCTAGGTAGAGTAACCTGTTAGCTTTAATGTGCACATGTCCAGGTGTGACAGGACGCTGTAGCCCGTAGTGCTTATTAGAAGAACTTATCTGTGTTTTGCATGTTTTAGTCCATCTATGATCATGATGCCTGGAGAGCAATGCGTAGTGCCACTTGGAGAGTTTGGTGTAGGAGGAATGGGGGACTGCGTCTGTTGGAACTGGTTCAGGCTAATCCTGCTACCAGTTTGTTTAAACACACTTTGCACACGTCTGGAAAGTAATGGAAAGTGAAACGAAAGTTTTCTGCTGCTGAATTTGGTTGAAGAGAAGACACTTTGGGGGCTGCAAGTGTGGATTTGTCCTGCTAAAAGACGGCTGTACATGGGGAAACATTGAGTA